GGTCCAGGTCACGTGGGTATCATCTGCAAGTGTGGGTGCTCCCGTGCTCATGCCCTCTCTTCCTGTCAGCCGGTGGCTCCGCTCTCCTTTCTAGTCCTCCATGGCCACGCCACTGACTCTGGACCCAAGAGTCCCCAGGCTTCCTCACACTGCTTGCCAACCAGGTCCCCAACTGGGTCCACAGAAGTCCACTGAACATTGTAGGGCTTAGCTTGCCACTTCATTGCTGCTTTTACCCTCTTCCCTCCATCGGTGATGTGTGTGGTCACCAGTCAGAGCATGCATCTCTGTTGAGTCTTAGTCTTGGAAGGGGGGGAAACCATCTTTTGGCATGACTGATCTTCATTGAGATTCAGGATGAGACTGAGTGAATCAGAAAACACTGTGCCCTTCCTTTGATTCTAGTCCTCAGCAGTAGTTTCTTAGACTCCAAGTGTTTCAGTACTTAGTCAGCAAGAGCCCTATCATTAACCCTTCCCTCCTCAGCATCATGGTTATCCAAAGTCTCATTCATGACATACTGCAACAACTTTGTGATGTTCTCCCTCTCCCCTGACCTTACTTGTCTGATTGTTCACCAATTCAGATATTATAGACATTGGGAAATCAGATGAAGGTCAGTGATCTTTGAAAAAATATTTAGATTACAGATGTATTGGTAAACTGGAACTTAAATGTGGGTCTTGGTAGATGAGCAAGAAGAGGGAATCTTTTAGGCTAAGTGGAACAGGAATCCTGGTGTAGCACTGTAAGATAAACACTGGACTGCTAACTACAAGGTCAGTGGTTCAAATCCACCAGACGCTTCTTGGAAACCCTAGACAGTAGAGGTGGAGAACAGTTTTCCTGCCAAAATGTATAACATTATTCACAGACCACACAAAATTATCAAATTAAAAATTAGCCTGCTATATTTGGTCAGATATTTAATTAACTCACCATTAATGTGATGGCTGAAACTGTAATCTCCTTGGCAGGACCAGACCAAATGATTTGTGAGATGGACATTCCCTGCCCTTGCTATATAGGGTCGCTAGGACTTGGAATCAACTCAACTGTGCAACCGACTCCATGGTACTTAACAACAACAACTACACTTAACAACAAACAAGTAACTGAACAGAAATAGGTATAGCTTGGGAAAATATAAGTAGAAATGACCATGATCTATTCATCAAAACCCATCTGGTAGGTATTAGGGCCCAGGTATGTATGAAGTGGTGTGGAAATTTGGAAAGAAGATTGAAGTCAGGCTATGAAGTTGGGATTTTGTGGTCCATTAAATTTTCCATAAGTAAGGTAAATAGACAATTTTTATAACCCAAATTGGAATACTTTTGAGAGTTAAATGTGGCACTAATAATAATTATGTTAGAACAACAGATATAAATTAAGATTGTCCCAAACAACCTGGTTCATATGTCATCTGAGTAATTCTGAGCATTGATAGTTGCATATGGAAGGGAAGTGTCAAGATCAAAGGGGTTTCAGGTAGAGTGATCAGGTGGCTCTGGACAAGTTTAGGCAGAGAAAGGACAAGCAGTGACCAGTGAGCACGTTATGGAAATGTACAGGAATGAGGCAGTGGGGGATGGAAGCAGAGCATTAGTCAACAGGATGAGAGAAGGCAAATGCAAGAAGAACAGGGCAAGGCAGAGTGACATGTGGAATGTTGTGGGTAGAGAAGCAGAACTGATGACATGGAGTCTTCTCAAAACTCTACATGGCTGATTGCATGCATTGCTGCTTGTTGTTGTTGTTATTGTTGTTAGGTGTTATCGAGTCGGTACCAACCCATAGCGATCTTATGCACAGGAGAATGAAACACTGCCCA